TTCAAATATACGGATGTAAGTCCTATAACAAAGTATTAGAAGCACAGGGTGTTTATGAATACAAAGCTAAATATCAAATTATACAAATACACATACACATAAATTAATACACACACACATATATATATATATACATAAATACTCAGGATTGATTGATCACAATAAGAGATTTCTGTAAGGAAATATTGTTTATTTAGTACTTTGAGGGGAGGAAGAAGCGTCATATGTTATTTTCCCAAAAGTTTTCTTAATTATTGTAAAAACTACGAAACAAAATCACAAAATGTACGACCTATCGGTTTTCGATAGAATCAAATTTTTGTTTTCGTCGTTACAAAAAAATAATATCGTAGAAATTTGAAACTTCTACTAAATATTTATATCAAATATCATAACAAATATAAATTTATACACTCGGTCTCGTTTTTTCCGAATTGTTTTATCGAGAGCAATGATACATAAGCTTCAAGTTTAAATTATCTATAATACAGCAATATCTTTTTCCCGTCCCTATAATTTATCTTACCCTGTAAAACACCCAACCGTAGAATTCCATTAATTTCGCCTGAAACCTTAAAATAATTTGTACGTAATTTTGACGTGCATGGTTATCAGTATTTGGTAATTGGTATAACGTCTAGGTATAGACATTAAATTCACATGTTATGTAATTATACTATAATGGTTTCATAAATGTTGCGTTGGTACCTATATTTATATCAAACAACTAATGGTTGTTAGTATTTAGTAAAAACACTTGTGCATAACTATAACGAAAAGCACAATTCATTGGCAATATTTACCTAATCATGCATCTACTCAAAATCAACGTATTTACTTTTACGACTTGACATGTTGCTTGTTGCCAGTATTAAAATAAAAAGCTTCGATCAATTAAATACATTTTAGAACAAAGGCTGCTTCAATTACATTTGAAATGCAATAAAATTTAATCATTTATACCGATTTCGCTAGTGAATTGAAGTTGGATCAATTATTTAAACGGTTTGAATTATAATAAGAACTTCAAAATAACATTTAATTGAAATATGTACAGTTATAAAACAAAATAATGATCATATTATCATAGAAAACAATACGACTAACGAATTAGAAATAATATATTAATATTCTTCAATAAAGAAACTAAAAATAGTTCTGTTCGGACGTTTGTAATGTTATTGTCTTTTAGTTTAATTCAAATTCGATTAGACTGCTTCTTCGTGAATTATAGGTAACTATTGCTGAACGACACTGAATGAACTGCTGATTGGTCTCAACGTTAGATTATAACCAAACGATAATTAAAAAAAAAATTTCGTTATTGTCAAATGCGATATGTACTTATATAAAATGCACATTATATCGAGATTCGCAGTATTCTCACATGCATTGTGATGGCCGCTGCGTTTGTTTCGAAATCGAGTCTGTTTCGTATAAAGGGCACCGGGGTTCGTAACTAGCTACTGGAAAGGGGAAAATCCAAAGAGATATATATGGTAGAGAGAGAGGTGGATGCACCGATGGAGAAAGAGAGGTGGTGTGGTTTAGAATGGGTTAGCAGGGAGGAGAGTGCGCAGTGACGGGCACGGTGAGAGAGAGAACGAGAGAGATTTCGCACGCAAATAATAAAACGGTCCAGACAGCGTGCGGGCCCTCCGTCACTCGCCCGCCCATCAGTCTGCCTCGCAGACGGGCCTACGGGTGTACGCGGCCGATTAAAGGGCGCGGAGTAGGAAAAAAAATGTCCAAACCCTCCCCCTCTCCTTCTTTCCAGACCAGACATGCCCCGTTCTTCTGACCGTCACCGCTGTGCAACGTTACCCTATTGAATTTCCGTGTACGGTAAACGAACAAAACATCACATCGGCACGCTACCCCGTGCGGGCATCGAGCCGATGCGACGGCGTGTCTCGTCCAGGGTACTTATACACACAAGCACACAGTGGCGTAGCCAAGAGAGGGTTAACGGGTTATAAACCCCTCCTCCAGAAATATTTCTCTTATTTTGTAAAGTATACAATTATATTAAGGCATAGGTATAATGTTATATCATGTCGTCATTACTTTAGATACTTTAGGGGGTTATTTTACGAATTTCCCATAAGAAGTGTCTAAATAAATGTAAAAATGTTGATGAAAAATCGTAACTTAACCGATAATTATCGGAAAGATTTGAAATGTTCACTAAATATTTATATCATCGTTTATGATGGATTCATTAACAAAATATTTAATTATTTAATTATTTCTTATTATTTGAATTTTTGTGCTATTTATTAATATTTTAATATGTTGTGTTTCTATAGTTTGATTTAGTAAAGCATTGATAAAACTATTTAAATTCCTCATTCATATTTCTTATTGTTTAATAAAAACAAAAAAAATTGAACTTCATTTTAGAAATAATTTTGATTATCTTTTGAATATTAGATTTCTCCAAAACTCAATATAAATCACTAAAATACGCAACATTTTTATAGTTGAAAGTTAATAGATCTTTAAATGTTAATACTTTGAGCTTGAAAATTGAACACAAGATTTTCTTTGTAGCAAAAAAAATTTTATAAATGTTAGATAATGAAATCTTACCGAAATCGGCTATTTCATCGAACTTTGATCATATAATATCAGTTATTTGGTTGTTATTCTATAAATATTAGTCGTATCAACTTGGAACATTTACTGAGTACTTACATTACCGTTTTGAAAATATTTCAATAAATAAATAAGATATAAAACTTAGTCTGCTAACATAATGTAGCAATTTTAATTGATAAGCTCTTTATAAGATACTATCACAATCTAGAAATTGATTTAAATTATATTCATATTGAATCCCATAGTCAATATAGCAGTTGAGCGAGAAGAGCTAAAGCACCTATCTCCTTCTAATATCTTTGAAAAATTTAAGAGTTGGTACTTCTGGGAAATTTTGTTTCGATTTAATAAATCAGTTATATACGATTGTCGTACTCGTACGTTAATTTAGTATTTGCATACGTGAAGACTCAACTTTTGATTTAAATATATATGGACTTGTAAATTATTGGTGATAGTGCTAATATGACCAAATTAATCATCTTCTTTTAAGACATTTGTTTATTGTTACGAATAGATATAACAGACGAATTATAGTCTTGATATCTTTTAAAAAAAAATTTTTTTTTTAATATGAATTATTTAAGGAAATAATAACAAAATACTATAACAATTTATCACTATTCAAGTAGAATATATGATACTGAAAGAATGTTTTTTTGTATTTCATTAAAATAGGTCATTAGAAAAAAACAATTATTTATAAGAATGACGGCATATAATATATTGTTACAAGTGTTACTTGTTCAAATAATCAAATACAAGTAAATTTTTCACCCATTTTAATGAATTCGTTGCTTGTTAAATTATATAAATTATTTTATAATGTTCATATATCAACAATTTAAAACCATTATAATTAGTAAATATTGTTTGTTTTTTTATTGGATTTTTAAAACTTTATTAAACTATTAATGATTGCTTAAAAAATGATTTACAAGAAGAATGTTATTGCTATAATTTACATTAGATTAAAATGTTGGAACAATCCGGAGCATTGAACTTTTTCATTGTGATACGCAACAATAAGAAATATGCCATTTCAAAAATAATTCTATGAGCTGTAGTTGTGGGGTGTAGGTAATCCTATATAGATGTAATCGAGTGAAGATTGAATTGTAATCATAATAATTGAACAAACTCCTTATTATCCAATAGGTACATTTTTTATACAGCAGCCTTCCTTTCAAGTATAAAATTTGACCAGTACCGTTTTATTTATTTATTTTTATCCAATTAAAACGAACGAAGAATGTAATATGGTATTATATAAGTTATAATTTTAAATAATCATTAAAAATCTGTTTACGTCATTAAAATGTAAATACTATTTTGAATATGAACAAATAAAGTATAATGTTTTATTATAAAATATACTATAATAAATACCTTAAAGTAGGTTTTATCCTTTAAATGCATTATATTACATTATTAGATTTTGTGTGATACCTTATATTTTACAATAAAAAAAGTTTAAAAAAATGTAATAGAAAACATTTTTTTGTATGTTTTCATATATATGCTAAGGTAATTACCATATTTTCGTTATGAATATCGACAGGCGTAATTTCATTTTCTAGTGCGTAATAGACACACATTTGGCATATTTGTTTATGACGATTTTTTTCAATAACGTCCTTGTTACTGTTCAATACTGTAAAAACAATCTGCTGAATATCCTGAAAAAAGCTGTTTATTTTTTTTTTTTACAAATATTTATTTTCGATTTTGATTTTCAAATAAATAATATTCTTTGTATAATACTAAAGTTAAGTCATACAATGGCAAACGTCCTCCTATATGCAAAAAGCGATTCTATAAACGACTATTTCAGTTCTGCTTAAAAAAATTTCATTTGAAATGTTTTGTTTTCTTGAGTTATGGTTCTTAGGTTGAAAATTAAAATATACTACAAATTAACAATAAAACTCCTACATTTAGGTACTACTTCTTTATAGTAAACTCATAATTTACAATTATTTTAAGCTTATAAGTTTATAACTATCATAATTTAAAAAACTTTAGTTTTAATTAAATTATTATAATAAAAATATTTATTTTAATTTCAAAGATGATATTAAACTCTAACTGTATGTTATTATTATCACTTTTATATACTTATTCCTTTTTTATAAAAAATACAACTATCATCTTATAAGTGTAAAAATTATAAGATAATAATTAACTATTATTGAATATTTTAATTGAATTGTAGGATACAATATTTCTTAGTTCAAGTAGGTACTAATATTTTTTTTACCAACAAGAAAAGAGAGAGAGTGAAAATACATTAAAGCATTCATATATTTATAAATTACTATTATAATGTTGTGATTATTATCACATTTTTAATATTTTTTTTTTTTTTTTTTGTATTAATGTGTTCATATCTATTGCAGATAAAGCCTGTACAAATTGAAATATACTATGAAGCACTATGTTCAGACAGTGTCAATTTTGTTAAAGACCAGTTAATTCCCGTTTACAGAAAATTTAACAAATTTATTGATGTTACATTCAATCCTTTTAGTCAAGGAACTGTAAGTTACTATTATAAAAATAAATTAAACAATAGAGTATTCATTTTTAAGAATTGAATGAAATTCATTTTTCTTGATTACAGATAAAGGATAATACTATACAATGTCGTCGTGATAGAGAATGTGATGCTGATAGTATACATGCATGTGCTATTTCAAAAATTAGTGACAAAGATAAACTAGTTGAGTTTTTGAACTGTGCCTTGTCCGAGGGTTTTCAGAATAAAACTGTACCAATTGAAAAGGTTTTTAAATTTATTTATCAAAATATTTAGCGTAATTAATTATTTAATATTTTGAAAAAAACATTTAGTTTTTGAATAAATTAATATATAAATAATAATAATAATAATATTTAAAAATTTTAATACTTTGATGTAACAGTAAATTTTAAATAATAGTTAACATTTAAATGATCATATATAGATAAATTTTTTTTACAGGTTTATAGGATCATTATATTTGATACTTAATTATTAATTATTATTATTCTACTATTTACATTTTTAGTGTGTTAAGGATAATAAAATTGAAGAAAATATCATATCTTTGATCTCTAAATGTGCAACAGATACAAATGAGACTTATCCATTATTGGTTAATTATAGAAATTTGGCTACTGCTGCAAACGTAACAACTGTACCCAAAATCATTATCAACAAGGTAATTTCAATTAAATTAAATCAATTGTATGTATTTCCTCTAATTATAATTTATTTTCCAACCTACTTTAGAATTATTCTGAATTGTCTTTAACAAATTTAAAGAAAGCTGTATGTGATAAGATTCCAAGCAAAGATTCACTGCCTGAATGCAAGGACATTGTAAGCGGATCAGATAGAGTTGTTTTTGGTGTATTGCCAATATTTATTGGTGTGTACTCTATCATAAAAATGATCTAAATTCCAATTACCATTAAAATATTCATAAGTTTATGTTTTAAATTAACTATTCATTCTATAATCTATTAGTTTGTATCTATTTTTTAATTTATTGATTTAATATTAATTATTTACTATATTTAGTACTGGATAGCTCTTACAGAAATCTAATTAAATATTATTCTGTTTTAATTTTTCTCTTACAATTTATTTTTTTTCACTAAATAAATACAACAAATATACATATAAACATATAAAAATAAGTAGCTTAATTATTGTAAAAATATTATCAAAATATGATTTCAAATGCATTATTTGAAAGAAAAAGTCAATGATTAAAAGAGTGATATATTTTTTTTAAATTTATAATTTCAATAGTCAGTATTACTGAAGAATATTAATATCTTTATGCAATCAATTTTTCAATTGTAATATCTTGTAAGTGTATACTTTTAAGGTAAGAATCTAAGATTATTTATAAGTTGAAAACAATTAATTTATTATATTTTTAATCATACTTATTGTGAATTATTTATTTTTTATTATGTATACAAAAAAAAAAAAAAATAATAAGTGATGAATACTAAATTATGCTATACAAATTTAAATTTTAACAACCCGTGTATTTTATATTTAATCTTTAATATATATGTAATAAATTGATAGACTTGTTTATTAATAGCTTATGCTGTAACAAATTAAATGAGAGTAATACCTTAAAATGTATAATGATTTTTACTACAATTTTGAATAGGATAATAACATATTTAAAATGTAAGTATAGAGGTTACCTATTATTTATACAAATAAAAATATAAGATGTTGTGGAACATAAGGCTTAATGTTATTGTAATTTGTAACTAAGCACTGATCAATGCTAACGTTTTAATTTTATAATAATTTACAAACTTAGAAATAGCTAAATGAAAATAGAAAATTACAAATATTTTAATTACTTTTTTGAATATTTCCATGACTTTATAGGATAACAATATTTAAATTGTTGAATAAAAAATAACTATATACATATAGTCATCTATATCTCAAATACTTATCATGCCTATTTTGTATAGATTGAAAATTTCAAATAGAGAAAAAAATCATAAATTATTATAAAAATAAAACATGAATTACAATATTGGGATATTAGCACTAAATATCTAAAATTAAGCACTTAAAAATTGCTTACTTCAAAAAAACATAAATTATTTTTGAAATAATATAAATTATCCATTCATTTTTTTTACAGCTATATTTTATTTTTTTGTTATAATTAAAAAAAAAAAAAAAAATAGATTTTTAATACTATTTAATATTATTCTTGAGCTTTCATGAACTACATATAATTTACATCTTTGTTATTAATTCATTTTAAATCTAAAATTTTTGAAACAAATTTATTCATTAAATGTACGAGTACTAAGAAGATAAGAAAGAAAAGATAATATAATTTCTATTTTTAATTTTATATATATTTTCCATTTAGAATTTTGATACATTCTAATATTATGTTTTATAATATGCCCAATAAAATAGAAACATGAAAAAATATGATAAATGTACAAAAATATGCAAAATAAGATTTTACATATTTAACCATGGTATCTTGAAATGGATTTATATGTCATCTAACGTTAAATACAACTTTGTAGGATTTGTATACAAATGCATAAACTTACGACGAGCCCTGTTGATTACTATTTATACATATTTAACATTAATGCAAGTTGTCATTAAGTCAAAAATCTGGAAGAAGAAAAACAAGTTTATATAAAGAATTTTAAATCAGTCACAGGTCATAATAAATAATTATAATTCATAATTATTTTGTAGGTCATAATTTTAATAAATGTCTTACACATTATAAAAAAGATCTTTTTTTCGACCAAAAGCAATTCGATAATTCTCCTACATTTTTTTTTATACAAACATACCTTTAATGTCAGTTAAGATGTATATTTAACTTAATTAAGGCGCATAAATATTTACCATCTTGTATAAATGTATAATAATAATATAATGTAATATGTTTATCATATACAATTATATTCATGATTACAAAAATAGTATAATTTTAGTTTTAATTAAATGAAATATAAATAAATAAAATTGGGTTTATTTTACCATATATGCAATCAGTGAAAAATATTCGGAGATTTCTCTGAAGTTACATTTTATCTTATTTTTATTGGTCTTATATTATTCTTTTTTATTATGAATTGAGAATAATAATATTTTATAATTATAGATAAGTGTTTTGTTCTTTTTTACTCCCTTTCATCTTACGCAATGTGCTTTCTGGCTATTTTTAATTCTTACATTAGTCATTGTTTACTATTATTAATAACTATATTCAATACTGTAAATTTAACATAACTCTTATTAAATACTATTTTACTTTAATTTTAAATTAGTTAAAAAACTAACAGATAGAACATCTGGTGGTCGACCATTTGTATAGTTCGATTACCATTACAAATCAAAATAGATGAATGTGTTATAACTAGAGCCCAGATTTATATGCGTTTTAAAAGTGTCAAATATGATGCAAATATGCAAAGAAAAAGTGGCTAAATATGCAATTATATGCATTATGTGACACATAAGAATATATGTATAACATTTTTTTTTTTTTAAAAATCACATTTTTATACCAAATAAAATTCTAAACATTTTATCAAAAACAAAAAAAATTATATTATCCACTGCTTTATATTTTAAATCATTTAAATCAATCTAAAACTTCTAAGGAACTTAAAAACGAGAATACAAAAAAAAAATAAAAAAAATATTGTAGATTTTATAAATATTTTAGATCATTTGAAGTACCAACTCTCAAAAAACTAATAGAAAACTTAAAATAATTTTTTGATACTTAATACTTATCATGTCTATTCGTGCTCTATTCGAGGCGATTACAAAATTTATTGTAAATTAAAATAGTTAATTCATTAAAAACCCATTAAATATGTATATTATATGCATTTTTGAACAAATAAGCAATAATCTTCAATATATGCAATAGTAATAAAACTTGATGCTTAAATTCGGTGTGATATGAATCGTGAATATTTTAAACCTTCATAGACGTGCATACGCTTAGTACAAACATGCAAATACATATAAATCCGGGCTCTAGTTATAACGTAGTAATGAAAATAATATATAAGTATTAAGCTCTTCCAAATAAAATATGTAAAGCTAATAAATAACTTAAAACTGAATGTTTTTACGTGTTTAAGTTTTATAATTATATCTTTTTACATTGTATCAGCACTTGTACAGTTTTACGGTTGATTTCAAAATGACATTTTTTTTATACATCTGAGTAGTATAGATTTGTAGGTTTTGAGTCCATTTTTTAACGTTCTATTTGAGGGTTCGGAGTCCATTTTTTTTTCTCAAAATTGTTCCAATAAAATAATATAAATAAATTAGGAAAGTTTATAAAAAAAAAATGAAAAGACAATTTTATTTTTTGTAAACAAATATTTTATTTTCTTAATGTAAACACAATTTTTACAATATATTTTACAATATTATGGTCAGCATTTATACAAGTTTTTTTACTTTTCTGCTTAGAGGTATATATTCTATATATAATACGATCGTGAATCAAAAGACAATATGCACTTACACCGTCTAGATTTTCTAAATCTTCAATTTCTATACTAATGTCAACAGTCGAAGCTGTACCTGTATTTTTCTGTTTAGAAGTATTTATCACAACAATCGATGCTTTAGCCTCGAAATCAACTGGACTTTATCGATTTGCCTTCTTCTTTCCCTTAATACTGTGTTTATGCTTGGTTTTTTCTTTTTGAGAATTTCTTCTAGCTTCTGGCAGTTCACTTTACTGGTGTTCCAGGTAGGTGGTTTCCGGTTAGTGACAGTTGATGTGTTTATCTTGAAGAGGATATAACTGTGGTCGCTCAGCGATATCGTGTCCATAACTTCCCATTCAGTTATTTTGGCCACCAGAGACGGTGTTGCAAGCGTTAAATCGATGATGGAGGTTCCGTTTTGATTTCTGAACGTGAGGGTGTCGCCCGTGTTGCATATAAAAAGTCCTAAGCCATTGATAAAGTCAGATAGTGCTTCACCTCTTTTGTTACAATTTTTTTTACCCCAGTCAGTGTGGTGCGCATTGAAGTCATCTGTGACTAGTACCTGCGCTTTATTTGATCTGATGGTTATCTGGAGCCTTGTTAAGAAATCCGTGAACTCCTATAGAATGGAGTTTGGGAACCAATAGCATGAGTACAGTCTGATGCTGTTTGACAATATCCAGCAAAAATCACGTTCGTTCATCTCTATTTCGTCAATGCTGGTTAAATTGTTGTTGACTATCGTGGCTTTGTTTGTGCTGTCATTTATCCAGTTGAGGCCTTCGACGTGGTGTAGTTCTGAGACCATAATGAAGTCGGCTGACACTTCTGTTGCTACCTGTCGTAGTAGCGACTGCGCTGCCTTGGAGCAGTACAAGTTTATTTGGAATATTGTCTTCATTATTTTGATTTTGTTGCTTCCAGTGCGCATTTATACGCGTGGCATCTGTAGCTCCCAAGTTGGCGGTTGGAGAAATCCTACGAGTGACATGCACAATTCTTGTGCCCCTCCGCACCGCACCTCCAACAATGGTTCTTCAGTTCTTGGCCTTCGCAATTTTCTCTCGTGTGTCCAACGCCCTGGCATTTGTAGCACTTCTTGATGTCTGTTAGGTGGTGGACTCTGCAGTTAACGTAACCTATTCTTAGCCTCTATTTAGTCATACTGGCGGCTACTTTTGACGGGACAGTAATGATTATGGTCTGCGTGCCGCGTCTTGTGCTCCTCTCTGTTAGCGGGACTGAAGCGCTTAGGTTTTCTGTCCTCTGTAGGATGGCCTGCATCACTTTTTCTTCAGCAGCTTCTTTGTCCACATCTCTTATTTCGATCTTCGCCGCGTCCGAAAGTAGCTTGTAGGCATTTTCGTTACCAGTTGCTTAGTAGACCGCGTTTTTAAGGGTGTCTGCGTTACTGGCATTCCTAAAAATTTCGATGCGGACATATTCTAATCTAGTCTTGGTTATAGTGTTTATAGCCTGGCT